ATTTATTTTTTTTGAGTTATTTAACTTTTAACAAACTTCTTAATTTATTAATCTTTAAAAATGTAAAACACTAAAAAATTGTCAGCTTTAAATTCTCTACGTTCTTTTTTGCAGAAGTAAGAAAGCTGTCTTAATTTTTGTGTAATAATTTTTTAAAAAGTGCATGTTTTCGCCAAAAAAACGTCTTATTTCTAAAACTAAAGTTTAGAGTAAAAACATTGTTTTAAAAGGCTACATCCAAAAATGCAAAGAAACATACGGTGTTTCATTAAAAAAACACAAGTTTGTATAGTTAATTATTTTTGGGACATGCTGTATGGTTGAAAATAATTTTAGGTGATCACTAGATTAGTATCTATCAATGTTCTATACAATTTTTTTAAATTTCATTACTTAAAGGTCACTAATGGACTTTTCAACTCGCTGCGACAGCCTGTATATATGCGACCACAGATAAAAAATAAAAACATTAATAAATTGAGAAAATATTCAAAAATATCTGTTCGTATTAGGTAATGTAAAGTACCGCACGATAAAAGGTTCAATTAAAGAACTAATATGATCAATTGGCGCACTTCCTGTGTAATTGTGAATAGGTATTACAAAACGTGTTTCGTTTCTCTGCACCACATACACATGTACCTAAATTTATGACTGCTATTATTTCAATTTTTCATATTTTACATTATTATCAATGTTATGTGATAAAGAAATATTGAAGTCACTTTTCGAACAAACGCAGATATGGTACCACTAATATGTTTTGTTATAATCTTTTTTTTTGCAGATTACGAAATCAAAATGCCCGTAAAGGAATGGTTTCGAAGTTTACAACCCATCCAACTTTATGTTATTCTAATTCTGACTGTGATGTTTTTTATAACAGAATTGATTTTTAGTCATATTACACATGCTTTAACACTTTTAATGGACTCCTACCACATGCTGTGCAATATTTTAGCGTTGACTGGTTGTATTATAACGATTAAGGTATGTAAAAATACTTGGCATTTTTAATAGATATCTTGTTGTTTCTTTGCGTATCAACATAAGTCTATAAATAAAGACAAGTGTCCGATATGAGTTTAAAAAAACAAACTTTTTCTTCTACAAATTAATTTTTATCAAAACTAAAAATTAGCATACTATCTGCCTGCTACATCTGAAATTAATGAGTAGTGTAATGTTAATTAATGCAGTTTTCAGGATCTGAATTCAGATTTGTTTAAATTCTTCCTGACTTAACACATCTAGGAATAAATTAAGTATTGCGTTATTGAGTGTCCTCAACCTTGACTGTGTTGAAATATATGTTAGCTGAAAACTGAAAGGATTTTATTTATTAATTTATAAATTCATTTTTTTATGTAAATATGCGTACCAATACTAATAGTCGTAAACAAAATAATAATTTAAATATTTATAAACCTTGTCTTTTTTCGCTGTTTATTATAAAAAAAATGAAACGATCCTATCAAAATTAAGTTAATTGCTGGGTACACCAATCCTATCGACATTTACATATTAAAGTTCACATTAATAACCATATTTTCAGCTTTTTATCTTCCGTTGTCTATTGTAAATTTAAATAAATGCACTTTAACAGTTTTTTATATGACGTCAAAATCCGTATACGAACTAGGTTTTTCCAAGCAAGGACGAAGTCCATACTGAAACAAATTATAAATTTGATGTCCTTTACCTTCTAATTTTCACATTCACCTTCAGAACGTGAAAACTAAATTTAAATTTATGATTGGGCCCAAGACATTCCTGTTACAATTATACACATTTATGGTTGTAAAATTGATGTAATTTGTATTTTAATTAATTACACTATGAATATTTATAACACATTAGTACTTTACTATGACACTGGAACCAAACCTTTAAGAATCCAAATTGATTATTTTTCATTACACTGGCCGCCAAAATTAACCGGACTAAAATTTTGCGATTATTCACATTGCAATATTTTTGTTGTTCTTTGTCGGATTTTGACGAATTTTTGTTCGGCTTGAAGAATAAATTCTGCAGAACATTGTAATTTAATTCAATAACATTTCTAGTTTTGTCTTGTAAATGTACTTATTTTTATAACGAGCTGTGGTGAATGAATTATGTACCACATTTTCCATAATTAAGACATGAGAGATATAAACCTTCAAAAACGTATTGCAAAATTCAAGTTTTCATTTTTTTTATGAAAAAACACATTATTTAAATTGCATGAAAAAATACAGTAACATAAGTAGGTAATTTACAATACGCCAAAAATAAATCAAAAAATTTTTTCCTATAGTTTTCTTATAAAAAAATAAAATGGCCAAAAATAGTTTTTTTAAATTCATTTTCAAACGACACGTACAAAAAATTTCAAATTAATATACAGGGTGTTCGGTCCAAGTCGCCCCGACTGATAACACCTAAACTTACTTCTTTTTTTCAAAAAGTAAATATTTAAGTAATAATATTCATTCTTGGCTTTCTTAATAAATGTATTAAATTTTTTTAGCACATCAGGTGTTGCCGGAAATGCTACTAAATTTAGTTTTGCAAATGGAACACCTACGTTTTTTTTCCTCCAAACAATAATAATTGACATGAAAAATACTGTAAACCACTATTTATTACAATTTGCGTAGTACAATGCAATCAAAAAACATCTTAAATCTTAGAATTTTATGAGGAAATTGGTCGCGTAGCCTGTTTTTAATTTTAAAGGAAAGGTGTGAATAAAAAATGCTTGGATACAGTTTAACTGTTGGTTTGACAAATCTAATTTGTCAGTTGATGAGCGAGTTCTCTTATGGAAACTCTTGGATTTTCTTCGACTGATAACAGACAATTCAGATTTCTATTTTCTTGTTCTTCACAAAGAACCACAGGTTTTTTAGTTTTAAGAAGCGAACCTATTCGTCTCAGTTGTTTTTCAATTCGACTAATTTCCAACGATTTGGTTAAACTCTATTTGAGTTTTTTTCTCTATACTGTTTTTCAGCGTCCGCTCTATTTTTATTGCACTTAAAAAACACTTCAAGCTGATCTACCAATTCATTGTAAATAATATCATCCATTATTAAAGATCTCAATAAGATTTATTGACAAATTAGGCTTTGTCAAATTAACAATTAAACGGTATCCAAGCATATTGCTTTTTGCATGAATACCTTGACAAGTAAAATCCGCCTACGTTGCAAAATTTGCAATAAAATTCAAAAATTTAAATTGTTTTCTGAGTGCATTATGTAAAGTAAAATGTAATAAATAGTGGTTTACCGTATTTTTCATTTTTCATGCACATAGGTGTTCAATTTGAAAAACTAAATTTTTTAGCATTTCCGGTTACATCGGATGTGCCAAAAAAGTTGATGCATGTACTAAGAAAGCCGTATTATTTGAAAATTTAGTTTTTGAAAAAAAAGTAAGTTTAGGAGTTATTTTTTTATTTTTTTCAGAATTTTTAAACAACGATTTATTTTTTTATTCAGTATAGTTCAACCTTAAGTGGGCCGAATATGCCAAAATGTCAATAATTAACCGTTTTACTTGTTGTTCTAAGTTTTTCAGATTTTTTGTGTTCAAAGGCGTAATTGTGCTCTTTTAGTGACACAAGCAATAATTTTCGGTTTAACTACCTTTTTATGTAGCCTACTTTCTGAACAAATAATTAGTAACATTAACGTCTTTTTCAATGCTTTGTATTTCTGGGGTACCAGAAGATAAAATTTTGAAACAAATTGGTCATCATTCAGAAAAGAACAGGCAATAATCTGAAATAAGTAAAAACTTAATTTTGTCTCTGTTGCACACTACAGCATATAAAAAAAACAGTGTTCTCGTCTTTTAGGTATAACATTTACAAGACAAAAAAAAATGTTATTGAATTAAATTACAATGTTCTGCAGAGTTCGTTCGTTAAACCGAAGAAAAATTCGTCGAAATCCGACAAAGAATAACAAAAACATTGCAATGTGAAAAATCGCAAAATTTTAGTTGTCCGGTTAATTTTGACGGCAAGTGTATTTTAACTTTTATTTCAGAACAGCAATAGCAAAGAATGCAGGACAAACAACCTATCATCTAGTGTTAGTACCATAAGCGAAACAATCACAAATCCATCTGGTTGTTCAGACAAAAGACCAAATCAAACTAAAAAATCTCCGACGAGGGCTAACCAAGAAAACAAATTAAAAAACACCTTCGGATGGGCAAGAATCGACGTAATTTCGTTGCTAATATGTTGCATTTTCATGGCATCCCTGTCATTTTCCGTATTCGTGGAAGCATTGCAGACTTTAGTTCACATCGACCATCTTGACGAAATGCATCACCCTTTGTCAGTTTTATTTATCGGAGCTGCGGGTTTACTGTTAAATGGAGTTTGTTATTTACTAATTGGGGGCTACACGTTTCATCAAGGAAGTTTTCTTTATGTCACAGAGAGTGGAGATGTTGTTTTAGATAGAGTCGTTGTACCTGATTTAGTGAAACAAGGAGGAAGAAGACTATCCAGAACAAGACCCACCCCACCGCTACCGAAACGACAAAGACAAGGATTTTTAGAAATGTGTAGGGATATCATAGGTATGATTTATAAGTTAGAAATGTTGGTTTCTCAACTAATTTGTTTTAGGCTGTGTTTTTGTTATTATTTGTGCTTTAATAGTGTATTTCACAGATAAACATGTCGCAAAATATGTAGATCCTCTTTTATCTTTAGCTTCTGCCGGTTCTCTTTTGTTTCTCAGCTACCCTCACAGTAAGTAAGACATATTTTAAGCATTGCGGAAATAGTTGAAATATTGTATCAGTCTTATTAGTGGAATGTTGGTCAAGTACTACTTGCAATAAATTATTTATTAGCCACATAACGTGTACATTGAAAAATTTCCGATTAGAAAAAATTATATAACATCGCGTTACTTTGAAGATTAAAAAATAAAATTAGCATTCTTTTAATATGCGTCGCACATTTTAGCGACCCTCACATTACTAGTGTCATTTGTAACTTAATGGTTGCACCATTATGTTGAAGAAAGGATTGTACACTCTTTGCATTTTAATTGTTGTAAATTTCTCTTTCAATCAAATGTGACATAATTTGAGTAGATTAAATGAAAACAGTATTTTTATCAATTTAATTTATGTATGTAAATAATCAACTAATTACGTGATTTTTCCTTTTAAAAAGAAATGATGAATATCACCGCCGTAGTACATGTCGAGAATGATTATGAAGTTAATCAGAAATAACATACCAAAAATATTTAATATATCGTACAATTGCGGACGGGGAATTTTGGACGATTTGTCATTCGGTTCACATAAAAATGTAAAACGGGCCTTGTGTGCAACTAACCTTTCGGTTTTTGTAATTTTTTAAAATTTCAACTAAAACTTTCAAATTTTTCAATCATAATTGACGTTTGACATTTTTTGAAAGTGTCCAAAATTTCGTGTCCGCAGTTGTACAGGGTGCTGCATTTTGGATGTCCGAATAGGGAATCTCCGAAACTAAGAGGTTTAGCCAAAAACGAGTAATACATTCTGGGGCTCATTTTTTGAGAAAATAATATTGGTTAAAACCGCATCCCGCTATCGTCTTTTGTTTTCGACTTACAGACAAAAGTTGACATTTTGGCGAAATCTAAAAAAAATTATATCTTCGTTATTATAGAAGATACGGATTTGAAATAAAGCCATTATACAGGCACTTTTTTACGAGGAATTTAATAATGTAGTTAACAATTTTTTTTCAGTTATTAATTTAGCCGTAATAAGATAAACTTGTATTTTTTTAAATGGAACTCATAGGCGGCTATGGCAATTTTGAAAAGCTTATTTTTTTCTGATCTAAAAAATATATATTTGTAACAAAATATTTTTTTATAACTATACTTAAAAAGTGAAATACATATTTTGTGTGATAATAGTTGGCCATGGAAAAACTATTTCACTCCAAATGTGTAAATAATAATCAATAAGAGTTTTGTGAACTGTAAAATAGATGAAAAAATAGATAAAATTATAAAGATTTAAAAAATTCGATACGGTAGAAGCATTGAACAAATATCCGAGCGCCTCAGAACAAAATTATTACATATTTTTAAAAAATCAAAAAATAGGAAAAACAAATGTGTCAACAGTCAACACAATTAGAAAAAACATTTTTTTGATGATCTAATGGAGGTAGAATAACGTTTCACATAGACGGAATTTGGGTATTTGAATAGCCATATTGTCATTTTTGTGTCATATAAAATATATTTTATTGAAGAATTAAAGCGGCTTTTTTTTACAACACTCTATGTATCACTCTAGAAATTATAAGGTAATATTAGCTTGTTTAAAAACAAAGAAATGTTAGTTGATTTACAATTTATTTTGCATTTTTTTCATTACTTAGTACTTAGAAAACTCTTTCATTAGTGACACTGGTTGAATATAATATAGTTTAAATCCTTTTAGTTGAAGATGCAACATTTTTTCATGGCCAACTGAGAACAAAATTCAAAGATAATTTTTTGCTAAAAATGTATTATAATAATTTGTTACAAATATATATTTTTTAGATAAGAAAAAAACAAGCGTTTTAAAAATGACATAGCCATCTATGATTCCCATTAAAAAAATACAAGTTTATTTTATTACGGCTAAACAAACAACTAAAAAAAAAATGTTAACTACATTATTAAATTCTACGTAAAAAAGTGCCTGTATAATGTCTTTATTTCAAATCTGTGTCTTCTATAATAACGAAGATATGAATTATTTTAGATTTCGCTAAAATGTCAATTTTTGTCTATGAGTCGAAAACAAAAGACGATAGCGGGATGCGGTTTTAACCAATATTATTTTCTCAAAAAATGAGCCCCAGAATGTATTACTCGTTTTTGGCTAAACCTCTTAGTTTCGGAGATTCCCTATTCGGACATCCAAAGTGCAGCACCCTGTACATGTGCGGTTTTCAGGTTTAAGGAGATTTCAGTAAACAATTACTTTCTCCTCAATTAAGATTTAATGTTCAACAATTTTCTTTTCACACAGCATACATTAAGCGTTATTTTATAAAAGATAATAACTTTTAAGTTATTTGATTTCAGTGAAGGAAAGCTGTTTGATTCTACTACAAACGATACCTGACTCTATAAACATAGACGTGTTAAAAAAAGATCTGATAAAACATTTCCCCGATATTGTGAACGTTCACGACTTTCACGTTTGGCAGCTAACAGCGACCAAAATTATTTCTACTGTTCATATTATTTTTGAGAATCAAAAGGTGAGTAGTAGCTATTTGAAAAAACTTCAAATCTATTGAAATAATAAAAATTTGGGTAGTTTTCTTAATTTGTAGTCGGCTAAATAAATGAATTTCACATTTCAGTCTGTTTTTAGAGTTACAACACCATAATGGACGACATTACGGAATTTTTAATCGAAAATGGGATTACGCAAGTAACCATTCAGCCCGAATTTTACACAAAGGCGGAAAGTACACACAATTTAACTTCACTTTGTTTAATGCAATGCCAAGGAGAAGGTTGTAAATTAAGTCATTGCTGTCCCAACTATGAATCAAGTGGTGTTGTAAGTATTTTAAGTAGAATTGAAAATGTTTAAATACGGAAATTGGACTTTTTCAGAAATTAAGAAAAGGAAGCAAATCAGATGCCAAAGAACTTATGATGTTAGGGAATTCGTTACCAGATTTACGGTCGATAAAAGTAATAAATAACGAATTTTCGAAAACAACTGATTGCTTAACAAGAACTGCAACAACACAAAGCAGCGACAAAATACCGTCATAGCCCAGTATTCTGTTTTTTTTTCAAGTACAAAGTATTGTAGATTTTTTAAATAGGTTGAGTAGGCAAATTAAGATAAGCATATAAAACTCATTAATTTCTAGGGGTGTTTACTCCTAATTTCAATAAAGTTTACACGGGACCAAAAATTAACAAGTTCTCAATGTTGTCAAATTTGACATTTTTGATGAACGCTTTATAATTAATTATTTTGTAATGCCCATCTTACAATTTGATATAAATTTTTATATGAAATTAGTGAATTATGATGTACCTCAATAAAAATGTTTGTGTATGTGTTTTGCACTTTCCACTACATACCTGGTTATAATTGAAACACTGACGTCACATTTTACGTTCTTAAGCAAAATTTTATTAGAAATTAATCAGTAAAGTTTAACATAACGTATTTCAAAGCAGATGTCACCTACCCTCTAGCTCTTGTTTTTGAAATGGTCAGATTTATATCAATGCAAGTCTTTCCAGTATCGTGGTCCACATCAAGTTTTAGATCAATTGTTCCAGCCGCAATACCCAATTGATTTTTGTATTTGCTTAAGTTTATTTTTTTGTTCGGGTCACCACATGCTTTTCCCTGAAAAAACACGAATTAAAACGCACAAATTACTTGAGTAATGTAAGACTTACTGGTGGTATTGGACATTTGGACGGCATGTTATACATCCTGGCCACATTTCCTATTTGCGGATCATCCAAGTTACCAACAGCATCACAGAAATCTAGGTCCCCGTCCATGGGTGGCATAGGCGCTTTTTTCAAGACATATTTGCCCTAAAAATGCGGGCAAATTGTATTAATTTCTTACATTTAATAAACAAAAATCGTTTTCGTACCTTTGCTGTCTTGAAACCTTTCGGGAAATTTAGACACCCTTTTAAAATTAAGTTGCAATCTTTGTCCAGAGTTGCGTCGCCATTTTCAATTTTGATTACACTGTTTTCCACGCAGTTTTTCGCGCGATTGACTTTGAGGGTATAACCATTCTAAAAAATATGTAGTATTGATAACTAAAAAAACCTAGTCTTTTTATACTTACACATGCTTCAGATGTTCTAAGGAAAATTACTAAAAGTAACCCCACTAGAGCTGTTACGGTTTTGTTGAACATTTCTAAACTAATGCAAAAAATAACTGAAAGCTTATACCTTTATAAGTTTCAATTGTGATTAGTTTATATAAAATAATGGTAATTACCTTGACCATTAACAACAACCTTGTTCTGGATCATTTAGTCAAACCCCATAGATGAATATCAAGTAATGTGCTTTGTGACTAATTATTTATTCGAATTAAAAAAATAAAAACCATTGTGGGTATTTCCTGTGTAAGGTTACGATAGTTAACGAACAATCGGACTTGTGGTTCCAGTTTAGTCCGTTAATATTGAAAATGTCCATTAAAGTTAAATGAAGGTAGTATAAAATTTGTTACATTGGTTAAAATTGTATCACATTATATGGTGGGGTTAAAGGAGGAAATGATTACAGGGGTTTGTTTACTGTGTTATAATAAAGAGTGATTACTAAAAACAATATTTATTTATTATAACTCCATTTTTAAAAGCACACAATTTTATATGTAAAATAGACATAACTCTACAAATTATTACAAAATGAATATAATAAAAATGACTCGTCACCTCACCTTGCTAAGCAAGCTTAAAGACAGTATTGCAACAGATTAACAAGGATACAAACGTAAAGCAGCGGAAATGTCAGTACGGCCATGTATTAGATTAGGTAGGGGATTTGAAAATCAACTTTTCTGTATATGAAAAGTTAGATATCTTATTTTATTCAATAAATAATCGAACATCGGGCTGAAGGCAATATTCCTTGTGCTCCAGTCAACATTTTTAATCACATAATATATATTACTATACATTAAAATATTACTAGAATGTGCAAACTACATGAACTATATATAAAAAGAAAAGGTTAAAGGGCGAAGACTGAACGACCCAGTCAGAATCAGGTAAAGCGTACAGATAGCATAAATTAGCTGCAACAAAAGACACATATAGTATTACTTCACACACACATTACAACCCCTCACTTTTTCTTAAGAGTAAAAAAGCTGCGACGTTTCGAATCTTCTTTCTGAGCAGACGCAGGCAATGTCTGTGAACGCGAAGGACCAGAAGAATCGACATCCGCCTGGGCGTTTATGCGAGAGATCCATGTGTTCATTTCCGCATCGTTATGTGCTTGGAATAAGAATTCTGCACCACTTTCCAATCTTAAAAAAATGTATTAAAATCTTAGCTCCCCACACAGATTTTTTCTACTCACTTTAATCTGAAAACGTGCTTTTTCTTTTTATAATCTTGGGCTATGGAAGCATTAGCTTTGTGCAAGGAAAGAGGGATTTCATTTTTGAACGTCTGATCAGGAGTTGTACGAGCGACTTTGGAATCTTTATAGAAGGAAAGCTGAGAGCCTTGTAAAACAGCGTATACTTTGTCCCATGATCTAACCGAAGCTTTGGTGGTCGTATTTTCCCATTCGTGTTTGCGAGTTAAAACACCCTCAAAGGCTTCTTCATCACCTGGGCTGCCGCGTTCTAAACAAAATCGCCGTTATTATATTAAATAATGAGTAAAAAACAAACTACTAATCATAGTACATGAAGAAAAAACTATTTATCAGTCTTTTGTACTCGAGCTGCGCTTTGTCGCAATAGCGTTTTAGACTAACTAGTTGAGCAAGTAATATGTCCAAAAACCCTTATTTAGGAAGTTGGTGAAAATTACTTCAATGAGCATAGATTATAACATATACATTAAATTGTGATTGTAATAAACAAGCTTGCTCAAATTATCAAATTACAAATACATAAATTTATTTAAGAAATGTATTTTGCAAGTATACAGTATGTTCCCGGATTAAGTTTACAAGAGGAAAAAAAATTTTACCTTTGATTTTACGCCAAAACTGCAAAGGAAAAACATTTTTAGCTTGACTTGACTTTTACGGTTTTTATCTACAGCTTTCAAAAATAAGACTGTCGAACTAGTTTTAAATGCCAGAATTTTTTAAACAAGTTATAATCAAAATTCTGAACTTAATAATACATTTTATAATAGTCAGTCAAATTTTTACCTCTGATTTTACGCCCAAAAAGCAAAGTAAATACTTTTTTTCATAGTAGATGTTAAACTATTTCTTTATAAACTCTTTTGAGTAGATAAAGTAACACTGTAACAGCAAGGGTTGTTTTTGATTTATCTGAAACGAGCAACTCTGTAATTAAAACTTCATTATTCTGACTCAATAGAAAGAAAAGTATTTTTTTTTTCTTACTTTTGAACTTGTAATAATAATCTTTCTTTGCTTTTCAAGTCTCATCACATTGGCGATTTCATTTATTTTTTAATTAATTGTTAATTAATTCATTTGGTTTCGTTAAAAATGACTGTTTTTTTCAGAAGCTGTTTTTATGACTTGCTATTTATTAAAATTATATTTTTTTACAAACATTTTTCTTATTTAACTTGCGTTAACTCATCTGTCAAAGCGACATCGTTGTCAAAAAAATAAAACGCCAATGTGATGGGATTTAAAACGCAGATAAAAAATTACACTAGTTTACACGATTTTTTTTACCTTAGCTGAAAATTATAATTTCTTATAGATTTTGAGGCACTAAGTTAAAAAAAAAAAAAAACTATTTAAAAAAGCTCACCACGTTACGTTTAAGAAATATGTAATTAACAAAAGTACGAAAACCGCCAAAAAACATATTAAAAATTACTTGGTTTTATTATACTCTTTGGATCAGTTTTCTTTATAACAATCCAACAGTAATGTACTAACATATTTTCATCCCAAAAACCTTCATGTCGATTTTTGAAAACCCTTCAGATCTTGATGAAAACGCTCGTCTTGTTTGTTCATGCTCCCTAAATTTTTAGAAAAGAAGTTCAAATGCGAGTGTAATGTTTTTAAGACCTATTTAGACCCATATGGTTATAATTTTGCAATAATTCTGCGACAATTTGAATTTAAATAAATTTTAAATCGGAGGCATTTGTGCTGAAAGCAGAAAAATTATCGTCGTAACAAAAAAGTGTGACGTGAAAGAAAAATTTAACAATTATTTTTGTTTAATTAAAGGTAAGTTAACATAAAAATAATAATTCGATTAAAGGTATATTACATATCGTATTGTTTGTAGACTATAGAGTTATTAGTTATTATTACAAGCTCAAAATCAAGAGAAAAATGAAATTTTCTCTCCACTGAGTGAAAATAAGGAACTTTTAAAGTTACAGACTTACTGGTTTCAGGTGAAGCAAAAAATGTTTTCATTTGCAGTGTTATATAACTTAGTTTAATAAAAAAAAATTGGGGGACATATTGTATAATATTAGTTATTATTATTATGGCATTAAATTTACCACTTTGGGTTTTTGCTTTGTTTAGAAGTAATAAAAATAAATATAAAAACGGAAAAAACTAGCTATTTGTTAATAAAATTAAAAGTAAATCACAAAAATTTTGTTAAGGTAATGAAATACATGGGCATTCATTTTTTTTCTCAAAAATTTGCTTAGTGTCATTTTGCAAATTATTATAATCACCATTTAATAATCTATACTCATTGAAGAAATTTTCAGTGTCCTCGAATCCGGATCAACGTCCTAAATAAGGGTCTTCCGACATATTACCTGCTCCCCCACTAGTTAGTCGGAACCACTAATGCAACAAAGCGCAGTGTGAGCAGCAAATTAGACTGGTGAATATTTGATCAACAGAAAATAAAATTTTTATGGTCTTGATGAAAAATCATCCCAACTTACACAATAAACTGGACAACACACAAGTATTCTATTGCTTTATTAAACCACCACCGTTTCCACTAAAACTGCACAACAACATACCACCTTTTTGCAAAATACCTGATGTTCCTGCAGCTTCGTCATCACTGACAGCTCCAGAAGTCTTAGAAGATCCCTTCTTCCATCGGAAACTACGGAAGGGGGACTTGCTTCGAGAGCGGTCCTTACGTTTCGCCTTCTCTTCAGCTCTCGATACTTGATAAAAAATTACAAATAAAGCAAAACAAAACGCACAAAAAACATGCTCAAAATTAAATAATATAATATTGGTTCGTACAAAGCCCCTTTGGTATTTTTTTTTAAACTTGATACTTACGTGTTTGTGAGCGGGGTGATGTTGTGGGTGTTGATTGCACCCGGGGGGAAACCGGAGCACTGCCAGGACGAGTTTGTTGTTGTCGTCCATGCACTACGTAACATGCTCATGCATTAAACATTTGTATCATGCAATTTGTTAGTAGATTTGTTAACAAATTTCTCTTTGTCTAATATTCTAATTGCAATCCATATCTTTTTAGTAAAATACTCGGAATAATTAACATTATAAACCAAACAATTCTAGCTTTACACAAAAAAGAACAGTATTTTATTATCAGTAAGCTCCATGAATTTTTTTAAACCTTTACTTTGTGCTACATTATAAAAAACTAAACCTAATAAGAATGATTGATTAATAATAAAATAAATAAAATAAAGCAAATGATCAATACTTTTATGAAAGTCTTTCACAAGGCGACAAAAAAAAAGTCATGTCGTGACAACTTGACAAATTTTATATCATTTGGTTCGTCTCAGTAAGACAAATCAAATGCACTAAAAATTTTCAAAAAGTCCACACACTTTCTCACTGAGACGAACAAAATGATATAAAATCTGTCAAGTTGTCACGACATGACTTTTTTTGTCGCCTTGTGTTTACAGAAAAATTACACAACTCCAAATAATTAAACAAACAAAAAATTTCCTAAATTTTTTGGTCATTTTTAAAGGCAGTAATTCATCTAAAAATTGTCGTATCTAGATTAAAAAAAAAACATCTGGAAGCTTCAAGTTTCTAGTTATGAGATCTTTTAGTTATGAGATCTTTTGGCAAATTTTTTTTTCTGTGCTACGGTTACCACCAAATACTAAGTAATATGAGAAAAAAATCTAAATTATCTTGTTTCTGTTTTTGGACCACGGACGTCGAGATTTTTTTTTAGTTAACTGGGATAATGTTCTACAAGATCCTTTAATAATTTTTTGAAAGATTTTTTTTTCAAACTCAACATTGATTTAAAAAAGGAAAGAGATAAAAATAACTTTTTGCGTTATTTCTTGAAAATTTGTAAAAACATTCAAGAAACAATACTGCTTAATTTGTGAAAATAAAATCAAAAAAAAGTTTTAGATTTTTCTAAATTAAAAAAAAAATTCAAGAAACAATACTGACTAATTTTTGAAAAAAATCAAAAATATTTTTCTGTTTTTTTTTTGTAAATTTTGACTTTAGTACCAAAATGTCAGAAGCTGTCAAATGTCAAAAACAGCGGAGGTCATGTCGTGTTCTTAATTCATACTACCCCCACAGCAATTCATTAAAATACAGTGTGATCAAAAAGTTTATCTATCAAGCAAGCCTAGAAATTTAAAACGTGTGTCTGCGGAAGATAAAATGTCGCAATGGTAAATAAGAAATGTCAAAATAATTTTTTGTAAACTGTAACAACAAAGCGTGGTGAACAATTTCTATGAATAAACTCCAACTATATTCTCATTTTAGACGTTTCATACAGTAATTCAATTTGTTTAAATCAATATTTTAATTTTTATAAAATAGTTTTTTGACATCTAGCTGACATACAAACTTCCAAACGACACACGTCCTCAACTAGTACGCCTACTTGATAGAAAAACTTTTTGATTGCACTGTACTTACTTACAAACACGTTTTTTTCTACTATCTCAAAATTCAATTCACTTTAAATAATTCAAATCTAATTCATTAATTCAATAACTCTTTCAATTGATTAATTAAAAAAGAACAATTTTAGAATTTAAATGGTAACAAAATATACTTTTGGTTTCATAAAATATAGTGTCCCCATTTAGGTGAAACGACTTTTTTAAAAAATCAAAAATTCTCGATTTAAATTTTCATTTTTTGAGATTCAGCTCTGTTTGGTGAAAGATTAATTTGAAACATAATTTTATTTAAAATGCCTTGGAAATTAAAAAAAAACAACGATTTTTTTGTGAAGTAGAGTGCTTTTTGTCAAAAAGTTAAGAAAAGTTGTTTAGAATCATCATACAAACTTCCAAGCGACATACGTCCTCAACTAGTACGCCTACTATAGAAAGACTTTTTGCTCGCACTGTATAAACTTTAGTTACGACAATTTTTACATAAATTACAGCCTTTAAAAAATCACCAAAAATTTAAGAAAAAAAAAGTCTTTCTATTTGAAATCTAAGAAAAAATTTTGTTTCTTTAATTTTTTGGAGTAGTGTATTGATTATTATTGATTAGTTCATGACTTCATGCAAGCAAACTCAAATCACCCTTACCTTATTAGTAAAACTGCCTTAAAATTAATTAGTTCATACCTTTTTGTTGTTAATACCATAACCGTTTCGATTAATTCTGATTGAAAAAGTTTGTGCAGTTTTAACCAGATTAAGATAATCCATTGTGTGCATAGAGAAAATTAAAGCAATAGAAACCAGTGCCAATTAATCGATTATCAGAAATATAGTAAATCGAATAAGGTTAAGTTTTACCTTCACCTGGCGAAGTAGCTTTTAATGAAGCTCTCTGCCCACTTCCGGCTGCGTGAAGTAAGATCAACGTGATATAACCAGCCATTATTTATTTTTCAAATAGGGTTTTTTGGCGCATTATGTTACATACCTGGTCGTTCTTCGGCAGGCGTTCCAGAATCCGGTCGATCAGTCATTGCAGCTTCAGCCTGTTTAGGCTGTGCTGCTGCTAACGCCGCTTGTCGTTCTGCTTCCTCTTGTTCACGTCTCGCTCTTTCTTGAGCTTCTTGTGCTTCTTTTCTTCGCTGAATTTCTCGCAATTCAAACTAAAAACAAACACAAAGTTAACAATTATGTACTTGAGACACAAAATAGATGCAACAGTAGCCAAAACTCAAGCCAAAGCCAACAACATGCAATTGTGTTTTGTCAAAACTTACCACATTGTTAGTGGATGAAATGAGAGGAAAAGATTTTCGATAACTGTTTTTGAAACGTGCTTCTTTACATTTTATTTTACGTCTTTCAGGTTGTATAAAAAATGTCGTCCCCGTTTCCATATAATTCGCGAATCTTTCACCAGTTATAAAATCTTGCACTATGTATTTATAATCAGATTTTTTGAAATCACTTTCGCACATGGAAACTGAACGATGAAACTTATTTCTAGTATTGACTAAATTTGGAGAATTTTTGTGTAATTTGCCATGAAGAAACGTAATATTTTTACGTAATTTACTTAATTTGGCATATTTAGAAACACCATTTAGGGTAAAACGTCTCCTGTACAAAATTTTGGGATTATAAAACCGGTCACAATCACGTACGATTGCACTAATTGTTTCTGAAACGTAATTGGGTGATAAATTTCGTACAGAAACAGGTTTCAAATTTTTAAAAGTATGTGTGGGTACAGAAAAATCACATATAGGAGACAACTCATGCAAGGTCGTTCCACAACTAGGACCACCACCTTTTTCAAACTACAACCACAAGCAAAAATTAAATATTAAGTACCAATACAAAAGCTTAACAAAAGAAAAACAAAAACTTACTGTTGTTAATCGCTCCAGAGCACTAAATCTTTCTTCCTGTGCTGCTGCTGATTTTTCAAACGCTTCATGTTTCTTGATAAGATTCTCAACGTCGTCAATGGTATGCCCTAACTCAGTACTCATTAAATACGGTTCTTGAGCGATTAGCCAAGCTTCAGCAACAGCTGCATCTCTCGCGAATTGATAAACTTCAAGAATTAATTGCAGATTCTCCCATCTGGTTAAAGTAAATTATTAAAATGAAACTAAGAAAGTAATTAAACAAACCTTTCTCCCCATCGTTGCAAAACAGAATTTCTGTGATTACTTAAAGTAACTAGTTTATCTTTAATTTCAGCACTCGCATAATGATTACGATTAAGCAATTCCTTTCCTAGCGAAATGCAAGCAGTAAAATTGTCTTCTCTAGCGTCAATTTCAGCCTTCAAACTTTGATGATTGTTCATTAATAGTTCCACACCGCTGACATCTCTCGGTTTTTCACTCGTATTCATTTGTCTGATCACATCATCCATCCATTGCATTAGTGTTCTTACAAGATTGAAGAATTTAAACAAGTCACCAGTATCGGCCAGTTTGCCTCGTCGTTGATCACAAGCTGCTTGTAAAGCAGCCCAAGCAGCGATAACTTCATGTTCTCTATTTGTTATTTCTTTCGCCTTATCACCGGCATAACTAGCCTGCAATTTCTTCGACTCTTCTTGAATTTGTTGCACTTGTGATTGCAAAGTTTGTAAATCTTGTAAGAAATTCTGATGTTTTCTCTGAAGCGCTGATACAGACCCGGCATCACGTCCCAATTCATCCGACATAGAAACTTGTTTTTCGAGAATTCGTCCTAAAACATCTTTACAATCGTGGAAGAACTTGTGCAATTCTCGTGATGCTGCAAGCATTTGTGTGCGAGTTTCGATCAATTCCAATAAATCCTGCCATGCCTCATTCAATCCGTCTTTCCATTCGGCGATGGTGGCCGAATCGGAATGACCAGCTTCGATCAAACGGTCGGCATTGTCGGTAACTGCAGCCACTCGTTCTCTACCAATTGACTCAGTGTCACGAGCAAACTCCTTAAATCGCTCCCATAACAATGTCACATGGTCGTAATCCTGACCCAATTCGTGTGACGAAGCCACCACTTCCCTATCAGCAATCCATTGTTCCAAATCCTCAACATCTCTATGCAAAAGAAACAGTTTCAAAGCTTCGTCTAATTTGCCTCGACGTTCGCCGGCGAGATCTTTCAATCCGGCGTATAACTTGTCAAGTTGTGATTGTTTTACTGCCACTTGTTCCGCCAAAGGATGTCCTTCGGCCGCCAAAGCACGGACTGTCTCACCCAAAGATCGGATTGTATCAGCGTAATCTTCCACTGCTGCTTCCAAACTTTCGTGTTTCTTCATCAAATTACGAGCGGAAGTTTCATCTTTACCACGGTCTTCCACCATCAAATACAACTCTTGTTCACTCATCCAACTTTCAGCCTCATTAGCATCGAAAAGATACTGTTGGGCACGTTCATTGCGTAACAAATTCTCCCTACGTTTCTCCACAGCATCTTTCAATTCTTGCCAAGCTTTATGAAGTTCACTAATCAAGTGACCAAATTCGAGAGAATCTTCGTGTCCTGCAACACTCAAATTAACAAATGACATAATTTACAACATAGCCCAGTCAAATTAGACAAATCGGTGGGAAAAAATTCTAGAGAGTTGAATTTTTTTAAACGCTTTCTTTATACTTGGGTTAACATATATCAAAAGACCCCGAAGGTGTCTGTTTTTGGTTTTTTGCTTATATCTCGGAAATTATCACTCCTATAGGTTTTTATCTTCCTATCAAAATTAAAGCTTACAAAATTTCCTACAAAAATCGTCCTTTGCATTTTTGTTGTAGAACTAACCGTAAGCGAGTTATAGAGCAGACAAAAAACATCATTTAAAAAAATGTGCTTTATCTGCACTTAAAAGAGAATTAGTCTTGTAATTTAAAAAAAACTGACAGTAAATTGAATTTACTGGGTCCAATACTTCATTAAAGGAAGGGGGAATCACGAGGGTCTATAAATACAAACTCATCGTTTATGTAATTTATGCAGAATTTTCTGTAGAAGTCTATTTCTGCATCAAAATTTCCTACAAAAATGGTCCTATTCATTTTTGTAGTAGGACTAACCGTAGGCTTCAAAAGTTTGGAGTCCACATAAAATTGCATTAAAAATCACATTTCGTTAGTATATGGTAAGTATTTATATGTGTAGAGTGTTCCTCAACTAAGCTGGTCTGCCTGAAAGGTGACTCGGGTGTAAAGATTTAAACGGAGATATAAATAAAAAATTTTGGATGAAAGAGATAATCAATCTGTAAAGGGGTTAAATGGGGTGTAAATGTTTAAACAAAGATATAAACATGAAATTCTTTAGAAGTGTAAAGGGGCACTAAAATCAGATTTTCGAAAATTAGTTTTTAAGGGAATAAAACGGTGTACACATTTAAAGGGATATAAAAACATTAAATTTAGAAAATATGATCCTTAGAGAGTGTAGAAGTGCACTTTTCAAATTTTAATGAAATAAAATAGAGTTTAAACGCTTAAAAACAAAATTAGAAACATTAAATTTCGAATTTTGAGAGTGCAGAAGTGCACTGAGACGGCACTTTATGAAAATCAACATTTAATATTTATCCATAAACATAGCCCATGCGAAGAACGAGGCTACTATAACTGAATCCTATACATAACATAGGTAATTATCTTGCTTTATAGAGTACCTAAGCCCATGGAATGGTTTTGTGAACGGGCTTTATCCCATTTTATATCAGAAATACACGCGGACAAAGTCGCAGGCAAATGCTAGTTCAGCATATAAGGATGACTCGGAAAACTTGATAGACCCTCGTGGCACCTTCTAATAAACTGTTGGATCCAATACATTCAATTTACTGTAAGCTTTATTCAAATCATCGATATTAAATCATCTATTTATTAATATTGTACTGAACAAGACTGTAATTCGGTTTTCAATGTTTAAGTTGAGGACGAAGATGCAGCATATGAGGACGACTCGGAAGACTTTATAGACTCTCTAATGAAGTGTTGCACCCAATAAATTCAATTTGCTTTCAGTTTTTTCAAATCACAAGATTAATTTTGTTTTAAATGCGAATAAAGCACATTTTTTTAAATGATGTTTTTTGTCAGCCCTATAACTCGCTTACAGTTAGTCCTACAACAAAAATGTAAAGGACCATTTTTGTAGGCTTTAATTTTGATAAGCAGACAAAAACCGTTAGGAGTAATAGTTTCCTAGATATAAGAAAAAAAAACTTAAAAAAGACACCTTTAGCCCCCTCCCCCTTCAAGAATAAAGAAAGCGTTTAAAAAAAATTCCAACTCTAGAATTTTTTCCACCGATCGCCCTATTTTTGTCTAATTTGACTGGGCTATAACATAATTAATACCTTCATCGATCAATTTTTGACCATTGTTACAAACTGTATTTATTCTAGGTTCGTGATTTTCAATTTCGGTTCGTAATGATTGATTTTTCTTTTCTAACATATGGACTTGGAAGAGACTATTGCCGTATTCGGTCGACGATGCTTGTGGCATTTTTTCAGCGATCCACAAAAGTTCATCTTCAATGTCTCGTCGAAATTGTAGCGCTTCCTTTTTCTTTTCCAAAACTCTCTGTCTTTCGAGAAGTGGTTGTTTGAGTTGTTCGAAGCGTTGTTCCACTTGTGATTTTTTCACTTTGATTTCTTCCAATTTCGGTGGTGGTGTTGTAGTCTCGAGATGTTTTGTCTGCTTTTCTAATTCGTCCACTTGACGAGCTTTCACTGCCATTTGTGTCTCAATCATCTGTTGATAAATAAATTATTAGTGTGCAAACTAAATAAAAAATAACTCACCTGTTGTTTCTGCATAAGAATGTTGACTGAGGCTAGATCAGAGCCAGTGTCGTCGCTTTCGATTTGTTTCTCTAAATCGTTCATCCACGAGTCGATATCGTCGCATGTTTGATGAATGAGTACTTCACGGTTAGCGTCAAACAAGCGTTCGCCTTTTTCTTTAGTCGTCTGTTCCAAAACATCAAATTGGTCGATGAGTTCCTCAATTTTCGGTTTAATTTCACTTGCAAATTCCGGCTTTTCCTTAGCCAAATCTTCGCCCGTCTTTTGTAAATTAAGAAGTCGCTCTTTATTGGCCGCAATTTCGGCCTCGAAAGCTTGATGTCGTGTCCATTTCGAGTGGACTGTCTTCGCCGATCGGTATGTCTCATCTTGGGCTGTGATGTGTTTCTCTTGGATCCATTCTCCCAATTCGTCACAATCTCTCAAAAATTGTTGCAATTCCAATTGGTCTCTCAGTCTTTCCATTAAAGCTAAAGCTTTCTCCTTGATTGCTAATCTGCGTTGGTCAATATTGTCAGCACGTTTTGCGATTTTATCTGACGCGAAATGCCCTTCATCAATGAGACGATTCGTAAACTGGATAACTGCGTTAAACTTATCATCGTTTGCCTCCATAGACGTGATGAAAGATTCGTGCTTTTTCAATTGATTGTCGGCCTGTTCGAGTGTCGTAGGAGTCTCGATTTTAGACAAAGTGTGCTCTTGTTGGTTAAGAATGACCTCAGCTTGTCGGGCATCTCGATCAAGCAATTGTAAGCTAAGAGACTGTGATAGAAGTTTTTGCCGGTTTTCCCACATTTGATGGATTTCATCCCAGCCATCCTTCAGAGCCTTCAGTCTTTCTCTCAGGAACATGTACTGAGTGTCATCTTGGGTGCTAGGATCGGCAGTGATTTTCTCACCATATTCCATCATCTTAGTGTAATCATCGGTGTAATTGTGAATCTCCTCGCAAATGCTTTGATGTTGTGACAAAAGATTTTCGGCTTCTGCCAACGAATTGGGAGTATCTTCTGAGGCAATATCGGTTTGTGTTTTCGTAAGCCAGGCTTGGAAGTGGTCAAGATCACGCAAGAAGCGATGCAAATCACCGGCTTCTTCCAATTTCGAATCACGCTCTTTCAACATCTGAGTCAATCGTTCCCATATGATCTGTATTTGAACAATTCTTTCCCTAATAACGGCTGCTTCCTCCGGATGTTCAGTCTCAATACTGGCAGCTTCTTTCTCCAAAGAAGTGAGTTTAGCTTGAATTGCAGCTAAATCACGTTCCATTCCGGACAAACGTCGTTGAAGTGTCATAATACCGGTCAAATCCATCTCTAAACTATCAGTACTTTGTAAAATCCGAATTTTATCTTCGATCCATGTCGTAGTTTCACGACATTCGATATGGAATGTTTGCACACCATGTGCTGAATTGAGTTCGTCTCGTTTAGCTTCTGCTTTTTCACGCAATTCAGCCCATTTTTGATTGAGTTGATTTTGTCTTGCTGTAATCTGTTCAGAATTTGGATGTTCAACATGTAACAATTGACGTGCGAGTTGATTAACAACAGCAACTCTTGAAGCATTTGCGTTCATTTCTTTCTCGAAACCATCATAACGATGTTTCATAATTTCGACATCTTCAATGTCACGTGCAGGTACCATAGTTTGTAACATTCTGTCTTTCTCACTGATCCATTGCTCAACTCCATCACTTTCCGACAGTAATTTATACAAAGAGAGTGCATCTAACAAACGCTGTTTTCTGAGTTTAGCCAACTCGAGTAATTCCTTATACCGGTTGTCAATAGAAGCCAACCTTTGAGAGACTTCCGGAGAATCGGCTACTTCTGGTCCCAACTGTTGAGCTTGCTGATGTAAGGCTTCAATGGTGCTGGCATAATTCTTAAGTTCTTCAGTAACATCCTTATGTTTCTTAAGCAACGATTGTGCATTTCCTTCATCTCGACCAACATCCTCGCTAGACACAAGTCTCAAAGTATCCAACATCCAAATATCAACATCATCAGCATCTGCGAAAAGTTGGTGATAATCTACAGCATCCTCCAATCGTTTTCTGCGATAAGCCGCCAAATCCAACAAATGTTTCCAAGCTCCGCGAATTTCCGTTAATCTTTCTTGCACTTTTTCTGCACCAAAATGTCCGGAATTCACCAACTCTTCTCCAATTCCCACAACTGCATCCAATTGAGGTTCGTGTCCAGTAATTTCGTTTTCTAAAGCTTTGTGTTTGCTTAGTAGCAAGTTAACAGTGGTGAGATCATGCCCGATGTCGGCTGCTGAAACAATCTGTTCCTTTTCTTTGATCCAGTTTTCTTCATCGGCCATGTCCCAATAGAATTGCCACAATTTTCGACTTTCTTCAAGTCGTGATCGACGATCTACCGCCAAACGCACCAACTCAGCGTAGGCATCTTCAAGTTGTTGGACTCTTTCCAATACTAAAGCTGGATCACATGGTTTATAACCTTCTTCACTTTCCACATCTAGGAAACGTTGCGACTGATTAGCTACAGCTTTGACCCGATCACCAAGTATGTTAATATCGGCTTCGAGTAGATTATGTTTCTGTAGTAAGTCTTCAACACCCATAAGGTGTTTGCCGTAGTCGTCTGTTAAAAGACGTGCTTTCAATTCCTCCATGGCATCGAGAATATGGAGCATTTCTTGGAAGTTTTGTTGTAATTGTAAAGACAATTCCAAGCGGTGTCTACGTGCTCTAAGCAATTCCAGGAGATAATTCCAAAGGCGTAGGACGTTTTCTTTTCGTGCATTAATCCTCTCCATATCATGGTAGTTTTCAGCTTCGAGTTCACCAGCTACTGAAACAACAGCTTGAACTCTTTCTTCATACGCAAGAATATCGGTTTCGATAGCTTCGTGTTTCTTAGCTGCAGCTTCAACCGCGGTCAAGTCATGACCAAAATTATCTTGTGAGACTAATCTTTGATTTTCACTCAACCAAGTTTCTCTCATGCTAGCCTTTCGGTTGAAACGAGCAGCCAATTGTTCGAGTTTCTCCTGTCGAATTAATTCTTCACGTAAAGAAAGTTCTCGTTCATGTTCGGCTTTTTCTAACCGTTCCCAAGCTTTATTAATATCCGAAATCATTTTGCCTTCTTTCGGGGTGTAAGGTCGTTGATTATTAGCTCTCATTTTCGACTGTAAAGTAAAGAGGAGGATTTCCAAGTTGCCCTTTTCGACAAATTTCGGAGGTTTCTCGACGGTACGGTAATTATTGAACTGGCCTAATTGCTGTTGTACCCCAACAAGACTATTAGCGAATTGTCTCTCTCCCAAGGCTTTAATTGTGGCTTCGATCCACGCCAATAAATCACTTGTTAGTGATTCATATTCTTTAATCATTCGGTCATTCTCCATAGCAATTCCGACGACTTTTCCGATACGTTTTCCTTGAACCGTTTCCTGTTTCATCTTACTAAAGTAGTGATAATAAGTTACGACATATGTAATGATTGATTTTTCGTCCGGTTGTTCCACGAAAACGTCTTCAGCGTCGAGAAGTTTCGTCAAACCCAATTTATCTTCAGCTACATTAAACGCATTATTTAAATTGTGAATAGGGTTTGATTTGGATAATTTTTCAAATTGTATCAAATCGGGACGATGTTTATGAATGAGTGCGTTGAAAGCTAAACCATCCCTCCATGAAGTGGTGAAATTTCTAACGTTGACGTTGTTATAACCGGCTGTTTTCATCTGACACCACAGCAACAATGCATCTTTGGCCGACTTTGTCTCTTGATTATCCGTCTCTTCGATTGTAATATCCTGAATTTGGAATCGGAGAATGATGGTCCAAATTAAACCCAATGATAATCGAGGATTGCCATCGACAATATCATGCGATCCCATATTTTCTAAATGAACACGTTGCTCTCTGAGAAATTGCAGAGCTTTATCGACGTTTTCCAGGCAGTGAATACGCATTTTTCCTTTGGTTGGACGAGGCAGACGTTCGCCCGATAATACTTCCAATAATTTGATCAAATTTTTGCCATCTCGCATGTCGGTGTAAAGATCGGTAATGCGGGAATTTACCCGGACCAGGTGAGAGTTCACCCATTTCTGGAAAGTCTTCTTCTGAACGCTTTCTCTCTCATCTGCGTAAAAAAATTATCGAAAAGTTACAATTTGAATATATTTACCCCGTAATTCTAACACTATTTTGTCATAATATTTATCCTCCCATTCCATTCTGAATGTTAACTAGATGTATGGTGAAAACACACTGAACTTGATACAGGAAATGTTTGGTTTTGATAAAATACATTAGATAAGAGTGTCAGAATAAGAGGGAATTGAGTCGAAAACTTACCCGCTAAAGCTTTAATACGAGATCGTTCGAAAAGCCGAGAAGATGAATTGCCACCATCGTACTCATAGTCTTCAACAATCTCTTGTTGCAAGGTGGGATCCCACCTTACTATACTGATATCGGTGGTCATTCTGTTGACTCACCAGCAAAGCTGGTTACCTAAAAAAGAATTACATTTTATACAGGCTTTTTCGGCTAAACACCACATTAGAAATATTGGGAGTTCTAACAATGATATTTATCAAAAATTTTGTTTATTGCAGGTTCTGCTCAATGAAAATATTTTCAAGATGGCGAAACTTTCTGTTATACCGAAAGTTGGTATCAACTTTGTTATTTTAAATAGAAAGTTATGATTTTTATTGCGGTTTTGGATTACTCAAGTGATTTTGAGAGTTTTCATTAGCCTTCCTTATACCTAAGTTTAACCATTTTCGAAATATTTAGATCTTTTTAAAACTTTTTGGATTTAAATCTTCCCATTCAAAAGTTGATAATTTTGACATTTTTTTTTATAGTAACTTCTTTTTTTTAGCATTAGAAATAATAATAATAAATTTTGTCAATAAAAGCCACAAATAACATTAAACAGAGTTACAGTTTAGGATACAGCTTCCTTGTTTCCGCTTCTAATAGCCTGTAGCAAAAAAACTTGGAAAATTATTTTTCCTACAGCAATAGAGTCAAAGTGCAAAATTATAACTATGAAATTTGTATAGATAGAATTTTTTTTTAATTTTTTCCATGTTCGTGGTACCTCACCCTACCATTTGCTTTCGGGCGCGAGTTCTGGCGCACTCTGTATGTGCATATGATGTAGAACGTTACTCCTTCAACTTTTAGAATCGCGATATCTCAGAAATGATGATTCTTAAAAAAGTATAAAGACCATTTTTGTAGATAATTTTAAGATCTATATTTTTTGTCTGGGCTACTTTTTTGATAAAACTTACCGTTTTCGGAAAAATCTAAAAAACCTCAAATCTTGACCTTTGACCCCTAATAACTTTTTTAGCACACATGGGATCGATGGGGACTTTTGACACTTTATTTCTAATGGTGTACCCACCAAAATTTAGTTCTGTTTTCGTTATTTGACCAATATTTTTATGACTAATTTGACCGGACTATTAAAGGATTTAAAATTAAAAAAGTCCAACTTGACACTACATATTACAAATTCTTAAAAGATCATTTAGAGGAAAATTAAATACATAATTATTATGTGCGAACAATATTTTGAATAAATGGTTTGATCTGTTATTATACTGAGGAACGTGAAAATTTAATTTTCCAATTAAATTTTTATAGTATTGAAGTAAATAAGAAAGAAATAGAATATCAAAATTAGATTAAATAAATTTATTTTGTATTTACGAAAAGAATAACAACTGTGAAAAAAATTGGGCGTTTTTTCAGTGAGAAATGCGAAAACTACCATGGATAGTAATGGATTTCTTCCATTGTAAAAAAAAGTCAAAATAACTTGGAAATCATTAAATTTAGGTATAGGAAATGTTGAAACAGATCGATACAGAATTAAGTTCTCTTTCATTTAGTAAAAGAAAAAATTGGAGTCATCCATTTGAAAAAAATCAGTTACGGGTATTTGAAGTTTTCCAAACGTAACTTTAAATTTTAGAGGTTTGTTAATTATTTTTCCAATTATAAATACGCGAAAGAAAAGATCTAAATATTTCAAAAACGGTTAAATTTAGGTATAGGAAAGTCTGATAAAAACTCTCAAAATCACTTGAGTAATCCAAAGACACAATAAAAAACATAACTTTCTATTTAAAATAAGGAAGTTGACCCATTTCCGGTGTAACCGAAAGTGCTGCCATTTTGAAAAAAAATTCATTGAGCAGAACCTAACCGATTATGGCTATAATCAAAATTTTAGATAAATATCACTGTTAAACTCCCAATATTTCTTTCTAATGTAAACAGCCTGTAGATTGGTGTGATAGTAAACTGATCTATTTTTAGCACTGACAAAAATTAATTATAAAAATTAATAGATTTATCAAACTAAAAAAATTAAACAAATGACAGTAAGTAATAAAACAACTTGTGATGTAAATTGACACACAAATACTTTCATGGTAAAACTAACAAAAGTGAAATTGTTCTACACAACAAAGTCTCTATATTTCCCTAAATCGGCATCACTCGCTTATTCAGCCTGAAATATTGATTTACAATTAAAACTTCATGCGTCCCTATAATTTAGTTGTTTTTTATTTTGTTAAAAATAACTTTTAAATAGGTACATGCAAGATTAATTTCAAGAAAAAACAAATACTAATAAAAATGTAATTACGGATACATTCGGTGTTATCGATTAAACACTTATTCACACTTTATACGAGTACATCTCGCACATAACTGAATAAATGTAAAAGTACACAGCTGACGTTAAAAAGGTTGAAAACCTGAATCAGGAACTATTTGGATAAATCGATTTCTCGGCGACGATGGCAGCCAGTTTTGGCGTCTCGACGCCTGACCTAGCCGAACCACTCGCTAGTCGGACTGCAGCGTCTGGTTCGATTTCTAGTGCGGTAAAACTGCCGTTGGCGGCGCAAAATTCGCAAACGACGACCTCGACTGAAGCTGGAGGATTTAGGTCAAGTTGGGGATTGGATATCGAAGATTTAGGAAACTGATCTGTCATTTTAGAGCTTCACTAAAAAATATTGATTGGTTTTGTGCTAATTAAAGCATCTTCCACTTCATCTTTTTTATTTTTGTAAAGATGTTATTGATGTGCTGACTGTATCTACTAATAAAAGTAAGTGGGTGAATTTCTTACTAAAACATGTATATACAGGCTGTCCGAAAATTGCGTGCACAAACATCTAGGAGTAATTCCATACCTCAAAATATGAAGAAAAGATCCTATCAACATGGGTCCAAAAAAGCTTCCTTAAAAAGTTACGACTCTATAAAGGAGAGCCTTCAAATGGTTTTTTTTTTAAATTATTTTTGTTAATATTTCAAAAACAAAACCCGGCACCCGTAGGTTTTTTAAGATGACATAAATAAAATTTTTGAATCTTGGTCAGAGGCACACAAAATAGGGGGAGCTGCGACAAAAATCGCTCAATACTTTTTTCTTTTAAGACTTTATGCAAATTTAATACCATAATAAGTAAGGCTCGGATTATATGCAAAATGCATATTTGTTATTAAGAGGTATATCAACAAAATTGTAAGTTTTCTATGCATATATAGTTTTCTGATTAAAATAAGCCAAATAAAAAATGCATATTTTGCATATTTTGGCAACTTGGTGCATATTTTAGGAAATATTGCATATTTGTGAATACTTTCTTCAAATCACTAATTTCCGATTAAAAATTTCAGTTCAAGTTAAAAATTGGACAGTTTATGAAAAATGATCCGATTACAAAATATTTTAAACAACCGGTAATTCGTAAGCCAAACTCAAAAAATTAGTACCCTGCTGAGTGTTTCCTTTTTTAAATTGTATTGAACCAAGAAGTTTTTTTTTTAAATCATTTGTTACCAAAAAATAATAATTAATATAAATTAAAGTAATATAAAAAATGATCTTATTTGAAGAACAAAATCTTGTTTTGTTTTCGAGTTATTCGATTTTTGCTGTCTAAATTGCGGTATATGTAAAAAAATAATTTAATACAAAGTAGATAGTTGTAATCCTTTAGATCACACCTTCATGAAAAAAATGTTTTTTTGGTGAGTTCCCATTTAAAAAAAAATAATATTTTTGTAAAACTCAAAAACAAAACAGTAATTTCGAAAAATTTTATTTTTGATAAAACATCACATTTTTATAGAACTTTATAATTCATCAATTAGTTTTCTCAAAATATAAATACGTTTGACTTTTTATTGTTCAAAATTTTGCATATCGATGCATATTTGGCATATATTGGAGCATATTTCTTAATATTTTGTGCATATTTTTGTGAAAATACGTGCATATACAAGTATATGCGCATATTTTACGATTTTTTTGTGCATATAAAATGATGTAAAAGCCACAGTTTTCGAGATACAGGCCATTTTTTATGTCGACGCACTGAGGTAATTGAAACAATGTAATGAATAAAAAACATAGTTGGCGTTCTGCAAATCATAAAAAATGTCATTTCAAAGTTAAAAATTTGTGCACGCAATTTCCCGACACCCTGTATAATAAAATAGAGAATTAAGCGCATTAAAAATAAAAGTAAATGACGATGATTTCATAAAATAAGCCGTATTTGTACAACTTCCTGGCGAATGACGAATATACTCGTATTTAGTAACAACATTTACACTTGGATTTACTGGAATTACTACCTAGTGTGTGCTTAAGCCTAAAAAATGCTCAAAAACGACATCAATACCGCCACAATCCCCGAAAAATATTCTTTAAAAGTATATTTTTTATGTATAATGTGGTGCAATTACCTAAATTTATTCTTTTTTTTTTGATACATTACCACGAGATAATTCACGATGATGTAACAAACACTATGACATAGTTAGCATTGCTAGCCAGTGACGATGCCAATTACCTTCAATCAAACCGAATATTACACTCAACAGTGGGTACAAATAAAAGGGTGTTTGACCTTTACCACGATACCACAGTAATAATAGCCATTACGTCTACTTTACTATTTTAATCATCTAATTAGAGTAAAAAAACTTGGATTCACACCAATACTTTCTAATCAAGGTTAACACTTTGGCCTTTGCACAAATTAAAACCCATGTACATAAAATTAAAAATCAGAAATTGTGGAATATAAAATATGCGGGTAAAGTGCTCAACGAACTGTAATACCTGAACGTAATAAAAAAAACGACTCACGCTATGCTCCTGTTCATCACCACAAAATTATAGTGTGAAATTTATATAAACGACGATTTTTTTTAGACTTTTTAAATTCTATGCAGTAAACAAACACATAATTCAGCAAACTCTGATACGCATTCTCAATCATGTGTACCTTAATAGGTAAGCAATTAATAACCTAATTGAGTTAAGCATCAAAGTAGCTCCATAAACAAGACGCCAGACACTAATTAAACCAATATTGACACAAATTACCTACTTTCGAGCTTATTTGAGAATAGAAAAAATCCTTTAGATCGTCATTCGTCATCAACAATTTGGTCTTGCCCCACCGTAAATATAAACTTCTTTTAGTTTGATAAAAGTTTGAACCGTTACAAAGTCAATCAACAACCTATTCACGTAAAATCTTCTACAGACAACTGTGTTTACGGTACATGTTCCACCCACAAGTTGGTTTATTTGTTTACATAACATTAATGCTTCTGGTTAAGATTAGAAGTATTTAAAATTGCTTCTGGGTTAGATCATCTCAAACAACACATGTTTATTATTAAAAATGGTACAAATATTTCAGAATATATTACAAAACTTTGTAAATAATTTTCGCATGTTAACTAGTGAGAAGGTTATTTCAATTAAAAGTGACAAAAATATTCGCCCATGAAGTGGTTTAGAAAATTATTTCTTAATAATCTGTCTAGGACCAACAAAAAAAAAATTTAATTTAAAATCGTCGGTAGTAACGAACAGTTATCACATTAATGTAACCACCATGTCATCGTCAGAACTCGACAAAATTAATATTTATTTGACCTAAAAACATACTGGCGTGATAACAGCACTAATTAGCAAATTACTTAAATCGTGGTAATTTACAAAGTTTATTAATTAAAATGTAAATTACTTTAATTCCGTTCTCATAAAAACAAAAAAATCTGTGCACATAATCTTTCAGATTTTTATACACAAAACATGCAACCTCCCGAAAGCACGTCGGAAATATACCGTGAGATAAAAAATTATCTTGGTCAAGGAATGGAAAACGTCTGTCGTCGCTTATATCATCCTTTTGAAATAATTCTGTCAATGTTTGACTCACTGACAGCGTCGACATAACCTACAACAATTATTTTAAAATCCATGATCACCCTTGACCAAGATCATTTTTGATCTCACGGTACTTTACGCTTCCTACAATGTTACCATTAATGTACGGTATTTGGAGAATACGTAATCAACTATACAGGGTGTTCCAGAATTTTTTTTTAAGTAAAATAAAAAAATTATATATGCAAAAAAAATTGACATTTGATATTTTTTATATCTATTTAATATTACTGATGTATTATCATGTTTTTTCATAATTATTTAGGAAAGATACAAAATTTTTGCCAATAAAAGCCACATAAAATGTTTAAAAAATTTTGAGATTTATTTTTTGGCATTTGACATTTTTTTATATCTATTTAATGATACCGATGATCTTGTATGTGTCTTTTTGTAATTATTTAGTAAAGGTACAAAAATTTTGCCAATAAAAGCCACAAATAACATTAAACATAGTTATAATTTAGGATACAGTTTTCTTATTGTTTTTTCTTCTAATAGCCTGTAGTAAAAAAACTTTGAAAATTATTTTTCCAACAAAAACTTTAAACTCTCATAACTTCGAAATTTTTATAGATAGAATTTTTTTAACATTTGTTCCATATTCCTGGTATCTTACCTTACATAGCATTTTTCCCCTAGGGCGCGAGTACTGGCGCACCCTGTATAGTTGGTCCGTATATCGTAGTTTAAGGGTGTTTCAGCATGGTGTTTCAAAACATTTTGACATTGACAATTGTTTATTAAATAAAACTAACTTTAAGAATAATTACACTAAAGTTAGCTCTAATAGATTTATTGATAACAAATATTCAAAGATCTCTCAATTTTAAATCAAATTAGCCGGTACCCGATTATAGACAGGCCATTCATTTCTTAAGAGTATTTTTAACGTTATAAAAAATCAAACTTGATGTTAATGTGTATTATTTATTTTAAAAGATAAATTGCAAAAATGTCAACCTATACTGCAGTAATAAATGTTAATTATTTCGTTGAGTGATTTTAAACTAAACACACTTTGGTATACATGAAAACATTAGTTTACATGACAACATAAGAGACTTGCTCGAAAGAAATACGATTGTATAGAAATATAAAAAATGCATATTTTTGAGATGACTAAGAAAGACAATTATAAAAACTTTTTATCTAAGACTAAAAACAATTGAAAAATTAGATCAAATTGTTAAAAAAATTTGCTCCAAATTTTCCCAAATTTCCGTTTTTGCACGATGCAAATAACCCTTGGCAATTGATGAGTAGTATAATTCAAATCACTTAAAAAAAATGGCAAGATAAATGAATATTCCACTCAAAAGCATACTTAATATTAATAGATTTTCACTAAGATAAGAAATATGGAAATGACGAAGATAACTAAATATTTATTTTGACAATCTGGTTGGCTATGTCTATTTTTTATGTACTTAGCAACTATAGTCTTCAAAAATTTTCCACGCATTTGTCCTTGATTATGAACAGCAATTTGATACAAAAAAGTATTCAGAATAAAGCTTCGACCAGCAGAACCTAGTACTTGCATACATATTTTAATATTTGCTAGGTAAGGAAGTGTGACGTAACTTGTTTATTATAATTATCTAATCCTAACAGGTGGCTTGTGGTAGATCATGGAATTAAGTATTATCGTATCAACAAGAAATTACTACGTAGGATTTAGGGTTAGGTTGGATAACGTAACTAGTGTCAAAAATTTAGGTTAAGTCACCTGTCAGTTTGTATAGATAACTCAATTAATAGTTGACAGCAGGTTGACAGAAAACGTCAACAAGGGGTAACCAACCCTAGGCATTCAAAATTACTTCTGAAAATTATAGTTACAAACAACATGAAAAACGTTACTTTCCTAAAAATTCAAATCCTAGGTGGTAATTTCTTCTTGACAAATCTGTACTTAAAGTTTGCATTACATTACGAAACAGTGCCGCTTTAAATCAGTTTATTTGTTAATAATGAAATATTTTTTTAAGAAAAATTTCAATTTAAACAATATTGGTTAATAAAGTATCTTGCACAAGGGAGTAAAAATAGACTATTACTTTTAAATCTTTTTACAACTAGTTTTGGCCAACAAAAACCATCATCAGGCAATGTCATCGAAATTTTATTTTGGATGATACCTAGGTAAGCACGTCATCAATCATCATCGACCAATAAGTGAACTTTGTCACATGAAACTACAAAAAATGTGAAATTTGTACTTCCCGTAATTAACACAAAACGACTATCACAACTTGCGGTACTAAAGCACCTTACAGTCATATTTACTCAAATACAAAACAAATATTATTATTTAACTGTGATAAAACGTTAAAAGAATTGTAGCGATAAGAACACAATTCTACTACACAAACACTATTATTATTATGTAATAATTTGATGATTATGTAAAAATTAAAATTTAGTGCTATTTACAACAAATATGACTCATACACGCATCACAGATATTAATAGAAACCGAAAGACACAAGAGTTTATAGGCCATCATTAGCTTTATCAAATAATGTGACATTCAGTCATTTACCAATTTATTTTGGGATTTTGACCATTACTCTTGACCCGAAAAAAGTTATAATCAAAAGATCTACTTAACTTTAACTAAATTACCTACGGCTGTACTAAGTAATAATTAAAAAAAGAACAATCATGTCAGGTATTAATTACAGTAAAACTGTCCCTTAAGGGCAGTAACCCACCACTTGCAGTTCACTGACATGGCAACAAACGCATTTTGAACTTTGAATTACACACAAAAAGCCACTTAACTGTACAAACCGAATCAAGGTATCATCAGTGAAAGTGATAAAAAGCCAGTCAAGACAGTACTGAATTATTTAACAGTTTAGTAAAGTTTGGGTTACACCTATTCGGCCATTTTAAAAGACTTGGGTTAGATTTATCGACATTATTGGTAACCGCAACAACCGGAAAGGAAATGATGACTTACCTATTATCAAATGTTGCTTAAATAACGTCGGTCTCACTGATAAACTTATGTTCATAAGTTAAAATAACTGTTATTTTTATAAAATCACCACCTCGCGAACACAAACGCCCTTCATGACGGCTATTACGAGTACTCTTTTACGCATGCGCATAATTAATCTAACAACACGCCCAACGCATAGTAGGCTGGTTGAGTGGAAAGTAGATGGCGCTGGGATTTCATGTGGGTCAGGGGATGACCCTGACTTACTTAATTTAAGCTTCCTGTTATTTAGGAACAGGACAGGACTCCTTTAAACTAACAAAAAAAAATGATCAAAACTAGATTTGTGATGTAAAAACCCTTTAGTTCGATAAAAATTATCTTTAGTCCGACCCTGTCGCTATTGCTTCAACTCCCCTCCAGATGTCGCACCTCCTCTAGTCAAAATCTGTCAAGTGTCAAAAGTGCCATAACAAAAAAGTGTCAAAAATGTGAAATGTTTTTCGAAAATGCCGTTCGAAATTTGTTTTAATTGTTTAGCCCGGTGGAGATTATGGATAAGGCCATTGGTTATTTGTATTTACGCTTTAGCAGCTCTTGTTTTTGTGCCTTTATTCTTAGTGAAATCGTTGGAGGATGGGTTTAACAAACGAGATCAGGAAATTTTGATTGCTGGAATATTCGTTTGGGTTGCTATTCCTTTATCTTTGTGGGAAATTATTCAGCATGTTATACATTACACCCAGCCTAAATTACAAAAACATATCATCAGGTAATACTGCTCTGAACAAATCGTAATTGATTGTGAAGAGCTTATCAGTTTAGTTTACTATTGACGCATTTATTTTATTTTAGGATACTGTGGATGGTTCCGATATATGCGATCAATGCAGTAAGTTTTCAACAAGTGTAAAAGTTTATGATGACAAGTCTTGTAGTGGTTGGGTCTTATTTACCCCAAGCAGTCCGTATATGTAGACAGTTTAAGAGAATGCTATGAGGCTTATGTAATATACAATTTTATGAGATTTTTGTTGAATTATTTAAACATGGAAATGGATTTAGAAGCAAGTTTGGAACTGAAACCTCAAGTCAAACACATTTTCCCACTGTGTTGTTTACCTGATTGGGAAATGGGAAGGTAAAACAACCGAATTAGTCTAATTCAAATATTCTTTTTATACAATTTTTAGAGAATTTGTCCACATTTGCAAACACGGAATTCTCCAGTACACAGTTGTTAGGCCTCTAACCACTGCCATTTCTTTGTATGTTTTACTCAGTTGTGTGTCTTTACTAAATGTGTAATTTGTTAGTATTTGCAAAGTGTCTGGTGTTTACGGCGACGGCGAATTTAAGGGAAATGTAGCTTTCCCATATTTGATTGCTGTTAACAACATATCACAGTTTATGGCCATGTACTGTTTAGTAATGTTTTATAAAGCTAACATAGCAGAACTGAGACCAATGAAACCATTACCAAAGTTTTTGTGTATTAAGGCTGTCGTTTTCTTCTCATTTTTGTAAGTTGTTATGATGAAACTACTCACTTTAAAGTAATGTTTTGTAGTCAAGGCGTTCTTATAGATATGTTAGTTTATACAAATGTGATCACACCAAATTCCAAAGATTCAACAGATGATGGCTTAAGCTTATCAACGCGTTTGCAAGTAGGTTTGATTTCACAGGGCGACAAAAAAAGTCATGTCGTGACAACTTGACAAATTTTATATCATTTTGTTCGTCTCAGTGAGACAAATCAAATGCACTAAAAAAAATTTCAAAAAATCCACACACTTTGAACTAAATGGTTTTTTTTTTCTAATTTAAATGAATTTAAAATACTTTAACTTTAAGAAATCATTATTCAATAACTATTAGACCGATTTCCTTTAAATAAAGACCATTTTAAAGGGATGGCCTTGCTCTTTAGAATGATATAAAATTTGAAATTGAATATTGGCAAACTTTTCTTCGACCAGTGTTCGAAGAAGTTCGAAGTAATCTAAGAAAAACCCTGCGAGTAATTTTTTTTTCTTTGTTACCATCGTGTAGAGCATTTTTTATTAGTAAGAATCCAATTTTTTTAAATAATATACCGAATAGTTTTTAAAATATGATTTTTTGAAGTTAAGGTTTGCTTGCCCTTATATTTAAGGCTCGTGCCTTAAACTTCTAGATCCTCTTTGCTCAATGATCAGTGGTCATTTTTACAACAAAAAAACTCTTTATTTGCTTTAATTAGTACGCATGTACTTTTTACTTGTTTTAAGTAAACAAACAGTTTTTGTTTATTGTAATTAAAACACAGAAGGTGCAATTGACCATTTTTAAACAAAAGAAGAGTCTTATAATAAACTTAAAAAAATGCAATTTTAAGTAAGATTAACATGCATTTCTCCTATATGACACAATACCTGAACCACAGATTAGCAAGCAACTAATCTGTGCCTGAACTTCAAAAAATCATATCTTAAAAACTATTCGGTATATTATTTAAAAAATTTAGATTACAACTAATAAAGAGATGTCCTACACGATGATAATGATGAAAAAAAAAATACTCGTAGGGTTTTTCTTAGATTATTTCGATTTACTTCGAACTTTTTCGAGTATTGTTCGAAGAAAAGTTTGCCAATATTCAATTTCAATTTTCATAACATTCTAAAGGGCAAGTCCATGCCTTTAGAATGGTCTTTATTTGAAGGAAATCGGCCTAATAGTTATTGAGTAATGATTTTTTAAAGTAAAAGTATTTTAAATTCATTTAAATTAGAAAAAAAATTAGTTCAAAGTGTGTGGACTTTTTAATTTTTTTTTTAGTGCATTTGATTTGTCACAACGTGACTTTTTTTTGTCGCCCTGTATTTGCATTATCTGTGGCATAAATTTTATGAAAAAATTTAGGATTTTTTGATCTGCATTGAAATGTGTATGGCTTCAATAGCACACCATTACAGTTTCTCTTATGAGCCGTATGCAAGGTCTGGCTTGAATCAGTCTTGTTGTCAGGCTTTTCTTGCTATGTGGGACGTTTCAGATGTCCACAGAGATATACAAGAACATTTGGGGATTGTCAGTGAGTATTTTGAACACTACATGTTGAATAGATACAGACATAATATTTCAGGTAGTTCAATAAGTCGGAGGATCAGGGGACGTAGCATGTACACTATTCCAAGGGGCGATAATGAATATGCGAACTTAGTGTCACCACAGCAAGGAGCTGTGAGTGCGCCAACATCAGGGTTTTATCAAAATAATTATGACGAAGTTTTTGTGAATTATGGAGCAGTGGATTCTAGTCAGTCAATAAAAAATGATAGTAAAGCGAGATTGTAACTGGTTTTTTACTGGTTTTGATACGTGTTATACGCCTATAGCATTTATATTCTTTTACAAAGTAAACATTGTTATTTTATGTACTTTATTCATATGTCTAGTATAAGTTTATCATCGTTGTAATTGTGATATGTGTAGATAGTCCGGTTTTCTTTTGCACCAAGTGCAGAACTAGATTTCTCTTTCAGATTTTGTTAAATATCAAAAGAAATCTTCAATTTTGAACACCTGTAATTTAACTTTTATGGAGATTTGAATTTTAAAGTTCTGTGATTGTTAGGTATCAAATTTTATGAGTTGGTGTTACTGCAATTATATTAATTTGATGTTTAATAGAGTGTACCTTTATTGCAGTTATTTTGAAATAAAAAAAAATAAATATAGTTATACTTGCGTTTTTATTGTGATTTGTGACTGAAACCGGATTCAAAGAGTACCAAATTCGTATTTATTAAAAAAAAGAGTTTTAAAAAAAATCCGTGAAAATTTGAAACAACCATTTTAGGTCACTTTATTTTTATAACATAATAAGTTTAAGTTCGAGTAATATTTTTTTGAAAATTTATTTTATTGCCCTTTAGCAGTTGTGTTAGTTGCAAACAGGTTAAATTTGACCTTGACTACCCACTAATTCCGAGCAAGGTTTGTAACTCCTCACTTTATCTAATACATTTTAACCATTTTCTGAAATACGCGAGTTTTACCTACTTTAAATTTTATAAGTCAATTTTAAAATAAGTGTTCTCATTATTGGTGCTTCGTTAGCTAATGTCAAAATATAATTTCATGATATTGATGCCTTAATGGTTTAATTTTCAATCTATATATGGATGGCTTATGCTTTTCCAAATTGTGTGACTCATGGTCCAGCCTACCACAGTTTCATTGACATCATGATTGCGCCCACAAGATTTTATATTGGTTGATCTTGATCGCCAGTAATTTGAAACATGTGTTACAGGTCTTTAACTTGAGTGTACACCGTTAAAATTTAAACTCAGTATAAAAAATGTAGCAAATTCTACATATTGGAAAATGAAATCATAAAATTTTGTTCCAATGTTATCAATGGCGAGAGAGTTTATTGTTTATTCAATTATATATTTAATTTAATCGTTTTAAGCCAAGAAAACACATTTGAAATTTGATTTTTTTTGTTGATTTTCCAAGGTATTACGAAAATTCAGTCAGTTTATAATTCGTTTAAGTTGCTGAGAACAAATCATGGTCATATACGCCCCACGACGTCGCAACTGCGTTTTTTGAGATGAAATAGGTCACAAACCTTGATTTCTGTGTAAAAGAAGAATCTGAGTTACAACTTAAACTTACTCTTAATACAGAAAAAACATCAACAATGAAAGATTGGCGCCAAATTGGCACAAAGTGTAGGTAATTATTTAATTAACCAGGAAAATACCGCAAAATTATTTGAAATATCTTAATTCTGCTACACAATTTTTTTCTTGATAATTGTAGTACTTTTAAATTAAATAAACATGTTTAGTTTTTTAAATAAGCAATTTAACAACCATTCCTTAAAGAAAATTATGCATTGATAAGATGAAGTTGACAAAAAACAAATTATTATTAATGTAATACATTTTTTAGATAAACTGTTTTCCAAAATTAAATTAAGTAACAATTTTTGTACGAAATAGGTTTTTTCTATTTTAAACTTGATTTTATGTAAAACAATAATATTTTAAATGATTTATAAAAATTAATAACTTACCTATTTTTATTTTCTGAAATTTTTAATTTTTAAGTTTTTGACCTCGAAACAAATAAGATTTGAATCAGTTTATACAAGATTTGTCAAACTATTATGTGGAAATTATAATTTTTTATTGTTTTTCAATTTTTTGTCAATGTTTGTTAAATAATTTAACTTGACGTTTGCAATTGCAAAAAATGGCAACTTAATTCGAATTAGTTTAATTCTGAATTAAATTTTAATTTCGCTTTCGGTAAACTGGTTTCTAAAAGAATTTATCTTGAAACTACGACTAGTTTACAATCCGAAATTTACGATCATACCTGCTTGCGGTTAGAAGCGACTGGTTTATTGAGGCGTCATTTTCACTTTGTTCGACTGTACATACATACCGGAACTTTGCAACAAGCACTAAATGCAACTAATAAGGTATACATTTGCATAATTAATTATTGTTATTAGAGTAGGTACTTTAAAAAAATACAGTGTCCTAAGTCTAATATTAGAAATAAATATTTCAAGTTAGGTAGGTAAAAAATTTTTCTATACATACCAGGTGAATAAAAAGTATGGAACCAAACATTTTTTGCTTAAACTATTTATTTTTTGAAAAAACTAATTGATGAGTGATAAAGTACTATAAAAATGTGATAATTTAACAAGAATAAAATTTTTCGAAATTTCCTTTTTAAGGATTACAACTATCGGCTTTATATTTTATTTTTTCAAAAAAAATTTTACACATAAATTGCAATTTTCACAAAAAAAAATCGCATAACTCAAAAACAAAACAAAATTTCGTTCTGAAAATACGATCACATTTTTTATATTACTTTAATTTATATTAATTATTATTTGCTGGAGGCAAATGATTAAAAATAAAACCGCTTGGTTCCTACTTTATATTCACCCTGTATAGAGTAATAATAAACGGAAAGATACTCGTAATTAGGTAGGTACACTTTAATTTGATGCTTTGATATGGTTTGTTTTTGACGTATGTAGGTGAGATTCCACAAACTAATTTTAAAAAATAAATTTAATATCTATGATAAATTGTCTTTAATTTTTTTAATACAAATTGTTAGAATTAATTAGTAAAAAATGCTTGAAACGATTATTGGTAATTTTCGTTTTAATTGGTGATTAAGCCATAATTCTACTTGACAAAAGAAAATGATCTGCCAAGCGAAATCTTGCAAAGAGCAATCTGTTAGAACGTCATAAAAATCTAATATGCTTCCGCTCTATTGTCAACAATAATTTATCAAAATTCCTAAATTTTTAATACTGAAATGTTAATTATTCAGAATTTATACAACTTTTCATTATTCTACGTTAACACTTATTGTTCCAAAAACAAGGGAAGTTTATTACTAGTTCATTAAAAAAAAATTTTTTTTTTCGAAAACTTTGTTGTCATTTTATATTTTAGTGTTATTATTAAAAAATCTATCGAAATGGCTAAAATTTAGGGGTTTCTAAAAAAACAAGTGGATAATTGTGATTTTTTTAGAGAAAATATTTTTAGTTTTAATATAATTATTTCATAATTTTGCCGCTCATTGTCGGTATTTTTGTACAGAACAGAGGCCAGTTACGTAATATCCTCCCAATACAACAATTCTGAATTTATTTCATTTTATACTTTTACACAAAAACTTGTTATTTCCAATATTTATTTAAACTAAGGAATTGTTATGTTCTCAAAATGATCAATGAATAGCATTACACAAATTCGCAAACTGTTGATTTGAATCAGATATCAGCTCTCTCCAGTGCAGTGGTTCAACATAATTTCCTTGCAGCACCATAAAAAACATGACGTAGGCAATGTAAAAGAACCATTTCAAAACTTACCATAGACATAAATGGTCATCAATACGATCGCTTGTTGTCCTCTAAATCCACCTCTCTGCTAATTTCTCCGGAGTGCCGTCTACCTTTTCTTATGGTGGGGACCTTTACATAAGCAGTTTTGAAGATTTTGAATTAAAACGTGATTAAAACTAGTACAGGATCTGTGTTCGGGGTTGAGTGTTCGCCTTGACATATTTATTATTCGGATAAAATTTCCCACAACACAATAAAAGTAAGTGCCGTTTTACGTAATCGTTAGTTTAATGTACGTAAGTACTTGTTTTTTAAGACTTACCAAAAAAAACTTTAAAAAAAAGTAAAATTTAAAGCACACCAAAGTACAAATTTATTGGGGGTTTATTTTAAGGTTTTTGGTTTTCTTTTTGAAAGTTAATTTTTATATTATAGTTTATTTAGCAAAATAATTAAAATTCCAATATGCCAACAAATTAGTTTAGCTTTCCTGAAAGCTCTTTATTTGGTTATAAATTTTAAACGACGTATTGATCGATTCCTCGCATGCAATCACTGAAGTCATGATTATTTTCCATCCTCGTCTACCTTATATACTTGCTGAAACAACATTTGCTAAGGATTTTAGCGGGCTGGGATATAAAATAGAAAGATATGGTACCTGGCACCTATATTCCAAACTGCAGATATTTCGCCCAATAATATAGAACGCGACTAGATTTTTCTAGATACCTACATTTTTTGAATAATGCTCTAGTGTTGAGTGTGCTTAATTATAAACAGAACGTGTCATGACGGCACCGGTTGTAAATCAGTGAGTATTTGATTAGATTATTTTTCCTCGGCATTTTTTAGTGAAAGTATTGTCATAGTGTTATAGCATTTAAAATTTAGATAAATATTAGCATAACTTGTTGAGCGATGACTCAGTTCTTGTATGTATAATTCTGACACCTGTATATCGTTATTAATGTTTTACATAAAATCATTTTTATTTATGTATAATGTTTGCTATTTTTAGCGCTTACGGTTTAATTTTTTCGTCCGCGGAGAGTGAAATTATGATCACATGGAAAAAATTTATTTATTTTATGTATTAAATGATGTTATCTCCAATTTTTGGCAAATATGGTATGCAAATTCGACCTTTATTTTTACACCAAAGTGATCCCAATAAATACATAAAAATTACTTTCATTACCTTCATGATGTTTCACCTTCACCTAATTTTTACAACAGACAAATGAACACCCGTATGTTTATTCAAAATAGTATGAATCACACAATTTCTAAATCAGTGTAAAAATTTTGATACTATCTTTTCAGTGAAAACAGAGATGAAACTGTGAATACGATATTTTACATGTGATGACTTTATTTTCTGATTTTATCGAAAAAATCAATTCCTTGTGAATGGTTTTGTTAATTTTGTTTTTCATTTTTCACATTTTTGTTTAAATCATTTAGTAAAGGTTTTCGACAGGGTGATTGTCTTAAAAAATTAGAAAATCGCCAGACAATTTTTATTTCCAGAGGGATACATTTTAGTGTACTTTTGAAATTTGTAGTATCTACCCTTTTAGTAATACAGACAACCCCTTTAAAATTTTAAATCGCACAACCCCCTTTATGATACCTCAAATAAAAGGTATTTTGACCAGGAATTTGGCTGTGTGTTTTTTTCAATTTTGTTTGATTTTTATAAGGTTACATTAGGTACATGTAATAATACCTTTAATACGTTTTTTTCATATTTTCTTTACGTCAATTTGTCGCTGAAACATCTGACATTAAATGAAAAAAGATCCTTTTGTCTTTGATCACCGATATCTCAGTAACCAATGACTACACAGAGAATTTAAGGGTTGTGTCAAAAACTGGAATAAATGTCTTATAAGATCCTTTTATGATTTTTAAGAAAATATTTTTTTCTCCCTCAACCTGGATTTAAATAAAAGAGAAAAAAGTAACTTTTTGGTTGTTTTAGTAAATCTAACGCATATTCACTAATATTGATGGGGAGACTTATGTTTTAAGGTGTTTTTACAGTTGAATATACCTCTCATAGTCTCGTAAATTTTTAAATCGATCCATCACACCGTTTTCTCGGACAAATTGATCAAAGTTTTACAAAAGAATTAAAGGAATAATTGCACATATTTTTTCTGAACATTGTCAAAATGAATAAAAACAATTGTTTTCAGCTGTTTTTTACAATTTTGCATTATTTAAATTTAAAAAAAAATCAAAAGAAATTAAAAAAAATATTTTTGATTTTTTTTAAATTAGTCAGTATTGTTTCTTGATTTTTTTACAAATTTGAAAACTAAAACTTTTTTATGAATGTTTTTTTCAAAAATTAAGCATGAATGTTTTTACGGATTTTCAAAAAAAAATCAAAAAAACATTAGTCTTCTCATCAATATTAGTGAATACGCGGTAGATTTACTAAAACAACGCAAAAAGTTACTTTTAAATCTATGTTGAGAGTGAAAAAAAAAATTTTTTCAAAAAATTATAAAAGAATCTTGTAAGATATTTATCCCAGGTTTTAACACTATTCTTGTGGTCATTGGTTGCTGAGCAAAAGGATCCTTTTTCATTTAAAGTTATATATCTCAGCGACAAATTGACGTAAAGAGATTATGATAAAAGCATATTAAAGGTGAACGAACATGCTATCCGACCAATACATTGACTTAACCAAAAAAATCCCGACGTCCGTGGATCAAAAACAAAAAAAATTAGAATTTTTTTCTCACGATATTACTTAGGATTGCGTGGTAACTGTAGCACAGAAAACAATTTTGCCCAAAAATTTCAAAACTAGAAACTTAAAGCTTCCAAATGTTTTTTAATCTAGATACGCCAATTTTTAGCCTTTAAAAAACCACCAAAAATTTTGGAAAAAATTTTGGAAAAATTTTTGTTCCTTTAATTTTTTTGTATAAAATGCAGAAAACAAAGGTAACGCTTTATTTTTAAACTAAAATTAAACTGACCTTTTCTGTTTTGAAAATACAACACTCCAAAAACAATAAGTATACGAAAAAAAATTAAAGGTATTCAAAATGGTCAAGTGGCTTCTGCGTAACATAAATAAAAATACTCAAAACTCAAACAAAACACACAACCGAATTCCTGGTCAAAATACTTTTTATCTGAGGTATCACAAAGGAGGTGGTGCTATTTAAAATTTTGATAAATTTGTTTGTAATACAAAAAGGCTACAACTTTAAAAAAAAATACACTAAAAAAGGTGTCCCCCTGTAAATAAAAATTGATTTTAATTTTTGATTATTTTTCTGCGATGTTTAAAAAATATATATTTGGTTCTTCAATAATTTTTCTGTTTATTAAAGAAAATGGGAGGATTTACTCAGCGTCCATGGACTCCAACCAAACGACGTGGCCCAATAGCCGCAGAATATAATAGTCCAGGCCCAGCGTGTGTGTCTCTTCCTTCATACATAGGTACTGTTTCATAAAAAATATTCATTTTCGAATGTATTTTTTCGAACTTGAAACATAAATATTTAATAGGAACGCCAAAAAAAGAATGAGAATCTGTCCATGTGGGCAGGATGTGGACTGTAATCAGTTCCTGTTTTAGAAATCCTACGAGTAGAAACTTCTAGAAATTAAAAGTATAATTTGTGTTGAACGCCAACATACTCATACAGTCCTCATTTTCTCGAAACTGTTCAATATATGTTATTATATAAAAGTAGAACTAATTAAAAAGAAACATTTGTGACACACATGTAAATCCCACACATTTTTCAGGTAAAAGAACATCGGAGTCAAAAAGTGGGCGAGCACCGGCTTTTAGTTTTGGTGCTAGACATAATGGCAAAATTGACAGCATCGGACCTGGTCCAGGTCAATATAACGTAACTGGTCTTAGTGCAAAAGGTAATAACTGAAAAAATTGCTGAAATGTTCACTGTTGAAAATTTTCAGGAAAAGACACACCTCCTGCCGTTAGTTTGCACGGTCGTCCTAAAGATGCCAAACCTGAAAATTTTCCCGCCCCAGGGGACTATGATCCTGACAAAGCTGAAAAAGTCATTCACGACAATGCACCTCGATATACTTTTGGTTTAAAAACAAATGTCGAAAAACCGTTGGACACACCAGGTAGGCGGGGAAATTTCTTTCCTCACTGTAGCTTAATTATTATTTTTAATTAAAAAGTCCTTAATCTCTATTAATTGTTAATTGATTTAATCTAATGCGTAATATATTGATTGCAATTTAGGTAATAGGCGGGTTAAATGGATAATGGTACAGTATAAAATTAAATTTAATTAATTAAATAATGACTAATTGTCATAGATTGTGGTTAAAGGTTATTTAAAATTGTTAACACAGCACCTAACGCCTATAAACCACTTCAGAGGTCGAAAGCTCATCGCTATTCCTTTGGGAAAAGAACACCTTTGTATAGGTTATCAGATACTCCGGGTTAGTTTTTTACTTTATTTGCTTTATTTTAGTTTTTCCCATGTTAACTTACCATTATTATTTTTAGCACCCAATGTTTACAATGTACCAGAATCAGAAAAAAAATTGCATGAACATTCCCCAAAATATAGTTTCGGTCTTAAAACTCCAATTGAAAAACCATCGGACACACCGGGTTAGTTTCAATTTTCTTCTCTTTTCGTAAAGACCATTACAAATTATCTCATTTTTTTGAATATCTTTACTAACTTTTCAACCACACCTATATTTATGTTATTTTGTAAATAACTGTTAATATTTGCACTTTAGCGCCCAATGTTTACAACGTACCAACGGCCGACAAGGTTTTACATGAAAATTCTCCCAAATACACTTTTGGATGCAAAGTTCAATTGGAAAAGCCTTCGGAAACACCCGGTTCGTTTAATGTTACTAATTATTAGTTAACCGAAAGAGATAATTTGGATTATTGGTAAAACACGTTCATGCAAATCTGTGTAAAATACTTCTTCAATCTTTTTCAAGTATTTAATTAAATTCAAAAAATTACAATATTCTACACTACTCCAAAAAATTAAAGGAACAAAAATTTTTCCCAAATTTTTTGGTGACTTTTGAAAGGCTGTAATTCATCTTAAAGTTGTCGTATTTTCAAGTTTCTACACCTTTTCCAAGTGGAATTTAGAAAGCGTAAGATATTTATTATATTATATATTTCAGAAAGCGTAAATTGAAATTCAGATTAGTCAATTGTATTTCAGAAAGTGTTTGTCATTTGTAATTGAGAATTCGTCAATTGTAATTCAGAATTCGTTATTTTCATTTGAAAATTACATTATCAAAATATTTTTGAAAATAAAATATCTTATTTATTTTGTAAAATACCAAGTTTATGTAATTCTTTAATTCTGAAAATAAAATAATTCGTGTTTATGTGTAACTTCATTTTCAGATCACAGTAAGTTACAACTGATATTTTCTGGATTACATGTAACATGAAATTGAATTTATTTACTGTTCTGAATTCCATGTAATTGTTTCTAAATTACAATTAACACTTTTTGAAAGACAATTGACTAATCTAAATTTTAATTTACGCTTTCTGAAACTAAATTGACTAATCCGAATTACATGTGATGGTTCCTGAATTATACTTGAAAAAGGTGTAGTTTTGAGATCTTTTGGCAAATTTTTTTTTACGGTTACCACGCAATCCTAAGTAATATCGTGAGAAAAAAATTCTTGTTTTTGTTTTTGATCTAGGGACGTCGGGATTTCTTTTAGTTAAGTCAATTCATAGGCCGGATGTTATTTTATTTTTATTTGTACTTTTTTTTACAATTTTGCATTAGTTATTTCTTAAAAATAAAAAAAATTGAAATTGCTTTTGATTTTTTTTAAATTTGTAAAAACATTCAAGAAA